ATTATTATTATTATTATTATTATTATTATTATTATTATTATTATTATTATTATTATTATATAAACGGAGGTTGAAATTCCCAAAGGGGTTGAGTTCTTGATATTTATTGAAACAAAAAAGATGTATAATGAAATAGTTCTGAAATTCTTCTGCAAATAGCAATGTCATTATTCTCAAGTTTATGTTAATGGCATTACCACGTGGTTCAATTGAGTCATTGAAAATATTTAATTAAATCACATTATTATCTTAGAAAATACGAATAGTAGCTTTGGCGCAAAAATTTGAGAATTCCAGTCTTCAATTATTGTTCATTACAAGTAATGCAAGAATTTTTTTTAATGTCATACAAGTACTTTCTGGCATCAAATTCAATACCACATTAATGGAAGTTAAAAAGAAATTAATTGTTTTATCAAAATGAACGATAAATTAAACTTTGTTGCTAACATTTATCAGTCGTTTGAAAATTTCGGAGGGATTGCCTCTTCATGCCCTCCCTCCTCATGCCCTCATGCTCCCTGCTGGGCTGACTGCTTCGAAACTTGGCCACAGCTTTGGCGTTCTACCATGCCCCGCCCCCGCCCAGGCTGCGCTGGCCAGCATCTTCTGTGGAAAGATGATGCCTGGGCGTTTGGCACCGCGTCGTTGCGCGATTTCGCGGACGCGGAAGCGATGTCTGGCTCGCGTCTTTTGTTGCGCTTGAAAGACTGAGCGAAGAGGGAAGGATTACAGAAAGAAAAAAAAAAACTTACACAAAAAGACTGTGCGAAACAGAGGAAAGGTCTATCTGGTTCGGGTTTCTCCGCAAGAAATCGGGTCTTACTGTTACTGAGTGCGCGGATTCTTTCGTTTATTCCTAATAAGAGATTGTGGCGAAATGAGGTGAAAGTATTTCGTAGAAATATTACTTTTTCACTTCATTTCAGAGTTTCCTTTTCTTTCTTGGATTGTGCCACGAAATAAGAGTTACTTCCTAACATAGTATTTTCTTTTCTATCTACGACTTAAAATATCATGGATATGGCTGTTGGAATTTTATGGTGGTATCCGTGTTGTCAATGATGATGATACACCGGTCAAGTACGATTAGCGAAGTGCTAGAAAATCAGGTGATTATTCATGTAGTGTAATCAATTCTCCTATGGAAGAACCCGGAATGTGTGACCCATTCTCTCATTGCTATATACCTTTTATCGCAGGAAATGCGCACTATATCCACATTGCTGAGAATTGCTCTCTTCGGTGCGGATCGTTGCTCTCATGAGAGATCTCCAGTAGTCGTGTTCGGAAGAGATGGTGTACTTAAGCCTGTGAAAATGTTAAGATGGTTGTAATTCTCACACACATTTGCGCGCGCACACACACACACGCACACACGCGCGCGCGCACTTCACCACAATGCATGCGCGGAGACCGTGCTCCGCTGAAGGAGATACCAAATACGGGTAACCTCACTGGCCGACGTGTATGTCAGCGCCGGATCTCACGCTCGAGAGAGAGAGA